GCGTTATTTGGTAGACTTGGTTCCCATTCCGTTGCGTGGGAACAAGGTGATTATAGGCATGGATTGGTTGAGCCCCAACGGGGCAGTGATCGACTGCGCGCAGCAGTTGGTTCGGATCAGAACCCCAAGTGGGGGAGAGCTGGTGATTCAGGGCGAGAGGCCACAGCGCGGACCAGCACTATGTTCAGCGGCAAGGGCTAGGCGCTATCTTCGGGCAGGGCTGTGCTGGGTATGTCGCCTATGTTATGGATACCCGGGAGGCGGGTAAGACGACGGTGACAGATGTTCCGGTGGTGCGAGATTACGCGGATGTATTCCCAGATGAGCTGCCTGGGATACCTCCGGAGCGACCGGTGGAGTTCAGGATCGACCTAGTCCCTGGTGCGGCTCCGATATCCAAGGCACCATATCGGTTGGCTCCTTCCGAGATGCAGGAGTTGTCTACGCAGCTACATGAGCTGTTAGACAAGGGATTTATCAGGCCGAGTAGTTCGCCTTGGGGAGCCCTGATCGTGTTTGTCAAGAAGAAGGACGGGTCGCATCGCATGTGCATAGATTACCGGGAGCTGAACAAGGTAACGGTAAAGAACCGTTACCCACTCCCGAGGATAGATGATTTGTTCGACCAGCTTCAGGGAGCGTCTTGGTTTTCCAAGATAAACTTGCGGTCGGGATATCACCAGATGAGGGTCAGAGAGGAGGATGTACAGAAGACTGCTTTTCGGACTCGGTATGGCCATTACGAGTTCGTGGTGATGCCCTTCGGGCTCACCAACGCTCCTGCCGCGTTCATGGATCTCATGAACCGCGTGTGCAGGCCGATGTTGGATCGGTCCGTGATAGTTTTTATTGACGACATTTTGGTTTTTATTCCAAGACGCAGGAGCAGCATGAGGAGCACTTGCGAGAGGTGTTAGATACCCTGTGGAGGGAGAGCTTGTATGCCAAGTTCTCCAAGTGCGAGTTCTGGTTGCACGAGGTGCAGTTTCTTGGGCACCTTGTCAACCAGAACGGGATATTGGTTGAGCCGGCCAAAGTGGAGGCCGTGATGAGATGGGAGGTTCCGAAGTCTCCATCTGAGATTCGGAGTTTCCTCGGACTGGCAGGCTATTATCGGAGATTCATTCAGGACTTCTCCAAGATAGTCGTACCCTTGACCCGGCTGACGAAGAAAGCCGTTGTTTTTCGCTGGGGGCCTGAGCAACAGGCAGCGTTTGAGACGTTGAGACAGAGATTGTGCGTGGCGCCGATCCTTGCCCTGCCGGAGGGCATGGAGTATTTTATGGTATATTGCGATACGTCCATCTCAGGGTTGGGCATGGTATTGATGCAGAGGGGGCACGTTATCGCTTACGCTTCGAGGTAGCTGAAGCCTCACGAAGCGAACTACCCGACGCATGATTTGGAGTTGGGGGCGGTCGTCTTCGCCCTCAAGATTTGGCGACACTACCTCTATGGGGTCCGTTGTACCATCTACACGGACCACAAGAGTTTGAGGTACCTCATGGATCAGCCGAATCTGAACATGAGGCAGCGTCGGTGGTTAGATGTGGTGAAGGATTACAATTGTGAGATCCTCTACCACCCGGGGAAGGCCAATGTCGTGGCCGATGCGCTTAGACGCAAGGCAACGCCGATCAGAGACATATGCATGAGGATGATGGTGGTGACTCCTCTTTTGGAGCAGATCCGAGAGGCCCAGCAGGAGGCTATGAAGGAGGAACATCGGAAGAGCGAGCGTATTGTGGGACAGGTTTCCTCCTTCGACTATGATAGTCGTGGGTTATTGACGCTACACCGCAGGGTGTGGGTTCCATACCATGGGGGTGTGCGCCAGGTTCTGATGGAGGAGGCGCACAAATCCCGATTTTCCATTCATCCCGGGGCGACGAAGATGTACAGAGATCTTAGTCCCGATTATTGGTGTCCCTGCATGAAGCGGGATGTAGCCTGGCATGTTGAGAGATGCCTGACCTATAGGAAGGTCAAGGCTGAGCACTAGAGGCCTCACGACAAGATGCAGCCGTTGGATATCCCTATATGGAAATGGGAAGATATTACCATGGATTTCATCACAAAGCTTCCCAGGACCGCACGGTGAGTGGATTCGATTTGGGTCATCGTGGATCGGTTGACCAAGAGTGCCCATTTCATACCGATACAGGAGAGCATCTCGGCCGAGAAGCTGGCCGATATCTACATCTGAGAGGTAGTAGCTCGACACGGAGTGCCAGTTTCCGTGATTTCAGACAGAGATGTACGGTTCACTTCCAGATTTTAGAAGAAGTTACATGACGAGTTGGGTACTCGTCTGCACTTTAGCACCGCTTTTCACCCGCAGACGGATGGTCAGAGTGAGAGGACTATCCAAACTTTTGAGGATATGCTGCGTACATGTGTTCTAGACTTCGGTGGTAGCTGGGATACTTACCTTCCTTTGGCTGAGTTTTCCTATAATAACAGCTATCGTGCGAGTATCGACCGTCCTCCCTTTGAGATGTTGTATGGGAGGAAGTGTAGGACCCCGATATGTTGGGGTGAAGTCAGACAGAGGGTCATGGGGAGCACCGCAGTGGTGCTCAAGATGACAGAGAGGATTCAGCAGGTTGGGAGCAGGCTCCAGACTGCTCAGAGTCGGCAGGAAAGTCATGCCGACAAGCGCCGTTCGGACTTGGAGTTCTAGGTCGGGGATATGGTCCTCCTGAAGGTGTCGCCTTGGAAAGGCGTCATTCAATTCAGGAAGCGGGGCAAGTTGGGCCCCAGGTATATTGGACCTTTCAGGGTTGTCGCCCGGGTGGGCAAGGTGGCGTATAGGCTGGACCTCCCAGTCGAACTCAGTCAGATCCATAGCACATATCACGTCTCCCAGTTACGAAAGTGCCTGGTGGACGACTCGGCAATGGTGCCCTTGGAGGATATTCAGGTTGATGACAACCTGAACTACATCGAGCGGCCAGTGGCGATCCTCGATAGGAAGTCGAAGGATCTGAGGAACAAGAGGGTGGAGCTGGTGAAGGTGCAAGGACAGCACCACAAGGGGTCGGAATGGACTTGGGAGCCGGAGGAAGAGATGAGGGAGCACTACCTCGAGCTTTTTCCAGATTCAGCGGCAGACTTCGAAGACGAAGTCTAAAATAAGTGGGGGAGATTTGTAGCACCCGATTCCTGGTACGTATTTAAATTCAAGAAATATTGCAATTTACTCTGGGACTTGGCGAGTTGGGGGCCCAACTCGTCGAGTAGACTCGACTGTTGATCGGGGGTTTAAGTGACCTACTCGACGAGTCGGAAGACCGAATCGACGAGTAGGAGCTGTCTGGACAAAACCCTAATATTTAGGGTTTGCACCCTATTTAAACAACTTAACTCATCCCAAACCAGCCTCCATCATCCCTCTCACTTCCAGAATACCCTAACTCGAAACCCTAGCCTTGTTTGAGTGCTCTCAAGCCATTTTTATGCATTTTGTGTGTGTTTGAAGTTGGAGAAGAGAAGGAAGCTTGGGAGTTCAAGTAGAAGCAATGAGATCCAAAAGTTTAACTTCATTCTCAGCTCATTTAAGGTAAAAAGCTGGAACCTTGACCATTTATCTCTTAGATTTTGTTTTGGGGTTATTCTACCCTTTTAATGAGTATAGAGAAGCAAAAATCAAATTTGGTGGATGTGCTTAGAGTTGCACTTCGAATCTAGGGCTATTGGGGTCTTTTTGGCATAAAGGTGCCAACTTTGTTGCCATAAACACCCCATGCATCTTGTAGACCTCCTTTTATGGCTTTTTGAGCCAAAGGCCCCATGCATGTGCATCAAGTTTGAAGCTTTACGTATAAAATGGACCCTAGGAGGCCAGATCTATGGTTTTGACGCGTTAAGACCCATTATAATCGACTGTATAGTGTTAGACAAAGAGGGACTCGACGAGTCACTTGGGTGACTCGGCGATTCGGGACGCTTTTACCCCCAAAACGTCTTCTGGAAATGGTTTAGATTGGGTGGAAGGAACACTCAGCCTGCTAGGGGTTTGTCTTGGACCTGGAAATCATAGGACTCAGCGAGTGTATGAGCAGACTCGGCGAGTCCAAGGCAATCTCCCAACTCATGAAGATGGACTCGACGAGTTGTTCATACAACTTGGCGAGTCATAGACTGAACACGTTCGTATGAGGGAGATGAACTCGACGAGTTCAAAAGGAACTCGGCAAGTCGGTTGAAGATGGTCCCGATGCTATGGATGAAGGCGAACTCGTCGAGTTCTTGCTAGACTCGACGAGTAGAGTCGGGGGGTTGCATCATTTAAAAGAATAAGGACTCGACGAGTTGGTGGACCAACTCGGCGAGTCGAGTCAACTGGATGTTGAATTTGACCAAGGTGTTGACCTTGAATTTGACTTTGACCTAGTTGACCAGGAAGTGGTGATTAAGGAATATTGTTTTGTGTAGGATCTGAGAGGGGTTGATTTCAGGCAGCAAGTGGTAGGTCGGACACCCCAGTATGTCTGACAGGGGTAGGTTGAGCACCCCGGTATGCTCAGCAGGGTAGGTCGGGCACCCAAATATGCCTGACAATATGTTATAGTATGGTATGTGGTATGATGGGGGAACTCACTAAGCTTCGTGCTTACAGTTTTCAGTTTTGTTTCTGGTACCTCTTCAGCAAAAGGGAAGGAGCCGGAACGGTAGCGACACATCACACGCACATCGGGAGTCCATATTTTGAGATCTATGGGATTGTACTCTGATTTTATTATTATCCGAAGATATGTTTTCGAGACATGACATAATGGTTTTATGAATTAATATAATACTAGCAATGTTTTGACAAATGGTTTTACATGTTACTTAATTAAAAATGAAATTTTTGGCCTTGAAAATTTGGATGTTACACTTATCATCTGGATTATTATAAGGACTAGAAACACCAACAAAGCATGATGAACCTGGATTGGATCTTCTCAGGTCCTAGCGTAATGCTATGTCAGTTTGCCTTCACGTAATTATTTGGCCTATGCTCTAGCCCTACGAACTTGACCAATGGACACTACGCACTTGTACGTCTGCTTGATATCAACTATTATCTCCCTAAGTTTGAACTTGGGTTTGTTGGCAGTCTCAGTAATGTAATGCCTGTCTATCCATTCAGGGGTAACCATGGCTCCAAATTTGAACTTTCTACCACATACATGAGTCTGTACCAAACTTTTTACTTGAACTGTTTTATCATTGTACATACATCTTGTATACAGTCTAAAAGGAAACTGATTCTCCTTATCCTTATCCTGAACCCTCTTTCCACACTCACTACTAACCTTGTGTTGTCACATTTCTCATAATATAGTCCATATATGTTTGCCACTGCATAGTTTTGCATACAAAACTTTAGTTGTGCCATAGACTCAAACATGTCACCTAACTTGGGTTCCATAAGATCCCATCTTGTATTTGGATCATGAATTATGTGCTTCTTCTTCACTTTATCTCTTTCTTGGACAACCTCTTCATCACTTTTCCAGTCACCATCATGATAAACTTGTGCTCTAACCTCATCAACTATGCTAGAATTGCGTAGACTATCATCACTAAGAAGTACATTCAGAAAAGAATCCTTACATTTGTTCAGAGGAGAAAAAAATTCGTTCTGAGGTTCATGATCCATGTAGATACCGTGCAGCTCGAAATCCATCTCATTCAGGCCTGCGAATGGCTCGTACAAACCACCAAAGACATCTTTGAAGACATCGTCTGAGAAATCCATCGTCTTCGTTGAGAAATCCAACTGATTTTGGTGTTCAGTGACGTCGTCTCCGTTTCAATTTGAGAGTAATTTTAAGTAATTTTGGGTGTGAGTAAATTATGGTTCACAATTAATTTAGCATGGAGAGTAATAGAGGGTGATACGGGGTAAATGGGGGGAAGCGGTTGATCTGTCTCCCCACTCACTGTGGTTACCGGCATGTGGCCCCCTAATTAAGTAAGAGTCACCGGTTACAAACATGTTTATCAGGTAATAGGGCAATTACGACACAAATTGGACAACTAACCGGTTTCTGTGGACCTAAATTGTGGCCAGGGGTTAAACCAAACATTTTAGACAAACTCGAGGCGTTTTATGCCATTTGGTCATTTATGTATCATAATTGCTACATATAGAAGCACAAAATAAATCTTTAGCAAGAATATATAATAAAATAAAGACAAAGTTACAAATGGCTATTGTGGTTGAAAAAAAAAGTAAATTATACGAATGGTCCCTGTGATTTGGGATAACTTGTGCGTTTGGTCCCTATCTTTTTTTTTTAACTCGGGTCATCCTTATGATTTGTTTTTGTTTCGCATTTGATCCCTAACAGACCTAAAATTACTATGTTACCCTTATATATATATATATATATATATATATATATATATATATATATATATATATATATATATTTAATGAATTTCTTGTTTTTGCTATTATTTATAAATTAAATAAAACACAAATGTGGTATCTCTCATCCTTAAAACAATCAACCACCCCCGTTCAATTCCGGCGACCATCACTAGTTCAAGTTCGGCGACCATGGCAGCTACCAATATCGAGTTTTAGAACCCCCAAACAAATCTGAAACCAAACCCCTTTGAAACGATCGAGTTGTAGAAACCCTTTTCCGACGAGCAAACCCTAGATCGTGGTGGTGCCTTGGTTGTTTCCAACGAACCATTGTAACTCCAGAAGCTTACAACTTCTTTCCACCTTTAGAATGGGGAAGAAAACCGTTTACAGATGGTCATTCAAGTTAGATATAAACCCGTTTTCGGATAATGGATTACAGATTGTGGATGTAGGCTTAAGTGCAATCGACGATGGTTCAAATTAGGGAATAAACCTTTTTTCCGATGGTTCCGTCCAAAATTTCTCCATCCCCAAAATTCAAAGAACTATGCCACCGAATTCTTACATCTGAGAAAACAGATCCCTATAACGAAGGTTTATATATATAATTAAATTCTTGAATTACAATTGCTTGTCCATTGGGTTTCAAATAATATCCCTCATAATCATGTATGATATCTGATTTACTTTATTTGATGGCGGATTTTGGTTTTACAAAGTATCCGTCTTAAATTACAAAACCCTGAAGATGATATCCCTTGTGAACATGTTGAAGATGATATCCAATATGGGGTCGGATTTCGTTTTCACTTCGTTTGGGGTCTCCTATGGTGCATAATGTATGGTCGATGTTGCTCACCAGCGTCGTCCAGAAAAGAGATGAACAATGATGTTTAGGATTGCTTTCATTTGATTAGTGGAATGAATAAGTTTTATCGAGGGGAGTACGCTTTGGAGTCCTTGTATATCATTTTACTAATTTTATAATAATAAAAGGAATGCCTAAATAAAAAAAATTAAAGAAAATACAAAAACTATTCAATAAGGTCAGTATTGTCTTTTCAAGCCGGTCGGAGACTAAATGCGAAACAAAAACAAACCATAAGGATGGTCTAAGTTAAAAACAAAAGTTAGGAATTAAACACGCAAGTTATCTCAAACCACATGACCATTCATGTAATTTACTAAAAAAAAAAAAAAAAAAAAAAAAACCATTGATGGTCTTTTTTTATGAACTGTTAACATGATTGGTCATTTTTAGGTTTAAAAAACACACCATGAGTCATTATGGTCGGCAAAAAAAAAAACCTATCGTATCCATTTTAAACTTGAAAAGAATAAATCATATTAAAAAAAATTCAATTCAAAGACTTGTAATGGTATCTTTTCCAACCTTAAGGACCATTTATGTAATTTTGTCTAAAACGAAAATATCGGTTTACACAAACCTTACTATTTTATGACGACTTATGAGAAAACATATTATGAAAATAAATATTATTTGAATTAAATATTGAAAAACAAACAACATAAAAAAATCTATAACTATTTTATTTTGTATGATTTAACACTTTAACAACTATAACCTCTCGTTTTTAAGATATTTAAATTTTAAATAATAATAATGTTTTCCGATTGATGAGAATTAGCGAAAGACTCCAACGTAAATCACCCCTCTTAATTCAATGCTTCTCAAAGCATCACCGCCGGCGTTACCTGTTGTTAACTTCAAATTCAGCTTCAACACCATTTCAAACTCGACGTTTCCTTCTTTTATCAATTGCAGCGTTTCCGGCGAAATTGGGGTCGGCTGCACGAAATCTGGAAGAAGAGGGGTTGTAGCGGTCGAAGCTGGCTATACCAAGCGGCCACTGGAAACCCCAGGAGCTTATGAACTTGTTGACGAAGAGAGTGGGGATAAGTTTATCGTTTGGGGAGGAACTCATGACGACAACCATAAGCAAAAACAAACCATAAGATGCTCCAAGTTAAAAATAAAAGTTAGGGAGGGATTAAACTTACAAGTTATTCCAAGCCACAGGGACCATTAATGTAATTTACTCTTAATATTATATATAATGTAAGGTTCGCATTGTTGCAGATGCATGATTAGTGCTCTGTTTATGTGGTATGACATGATAAGTGCTGTATTTATTATTTATTGAACATAAAATGTGAAACGCGCCGCCCATCGAGTAATCTGATCACCGCCAAAGAAACTCGTAATCTCTGATCTGCCGTGGCGATGTCGATGTCGATGACAATGGGGTTTTCTGCCCCAATGAAGTTCAAGGCCAACGCTGCTATGAATTACCACGAACACCACCACCACGCGCTTGATGCGTCGTATGTAAAACGCGCCGCCGAGTTATCAGACCTGTCTGCCGGTTTCACCTCGCCACATCCTAACTTTGGTTGCGTGATAGCAAAAAACAGCAGCGTGGGGAATAAAGTTTTCGGAGAAGGATACCTTTACGCTCAAGGGACAAAACCGGCGGAGGTCCAGGCGGTGGAGGCTGCCGGAGAGTACTGCAGAGGCGCCACTGCTTATGTCAATATGGAACCTGGAGACTACAACAACGATAACACCTCTTTATCTGCTTTTATTAAGGTTTTTGCCATTGCTTAATTTCACATTATACTACAATAGTGTACAATAATTTGTTCAAATCTACATGCTTAATAGTCATAATCCTTAGGCTGGAATTACTAGAGTTGTAATTGGGATCAGGCATCCATTGCAACATCTTCGTGGAAATGCTATTCAAACATTGAGAAGTGAAGGACTACAGGTTGATGTTCTTGGGGAAGATATAAGAGGTGTCTCCATGGAGCAGGTACGTATTGTATAATCTTTAGTATTCTCACATGTTTATTTTCTTTCTTTCTAATTTGTTGTTAATCAATCTTATATTACATTAATTCTTGTAGGATGCTTTGAAATCATGTCTTGTTGTCAATGCCCCTTTGTTATATAGATCAGCGTTTCAAGTCCCATTTTCTGTTTTAAAGTACGCAATGACCCTTGATGGTGAGTGTCAATGATGATATATGTTGTTTTGTAAAATCAAAACGTTGCATTTACTCCATTTTATCCAAATTTTTTTATAGGAAAAATTGCTACTAGTAGTGGACATTCATTATGGATAAGCAACAAAAAGTCAAGATCACGAGTCTTTGAGTTACGTGGTAGAAGCGATGCAGTTATTGTAGGAGGAAATACAGTACGCAAAGATAGTATGAAACTTCAATTATTGTCACCTAGTTAATTATATATAAATAAATACTTCTAAAGTATTTAATAAAAGTTTTTTGAAATATATATATATATATATATATATATATATATATATATATATATATATATATATATATATATAGATCCGCGTTTAACTCCAAGAAATGGTGGTGTTCATTTACCTACACGAATTGTTATGTCACAAACACTTGATCTTCCTGAGGTTGCAAATCTTTGGGATGTTAGAGATGTGCCCACAATCGTTGTCACTCAGAGAGGTGCAAGAAGAAGTTTCCAGAAGTTTCTTGCCTCAAAAGGCGTTGAAGTAGTGGAATTTGACATTTTTAACCCTAAAAAAGTTGCGGAATATCTTTACGATCGTGGGTATTTTTCAGTCTTGTGGGAATGTGGAGGGACGTTATCGGCATCAGCTATTTTATCCGGTGTCATACACAAGGTGTATGAAACTATATATGATCTTTGAGTTTAATTTGTTTGAAAGTAGAATGCGCTATAATTAGGTAAGATTATGATACAGGTGCATGCTTTTGTTGCTCCTAAGATAATTGGTGGAAGGAACGCGCCTTCTCCAGTTGGGGAACTTGGGATGGTTGAAATGACACAGGCTTTGGAGTTAAGTGATGTTTCTTATGAGCAGGTTGGTTTTATATTGCAAATGTATTTTCATTGATATGTAGAATTCATTTTAAAAAACTTGATAAATTAATTGTAGATAGAATCTGATGTGCTTATTAGTGGATATGTGCAACCCATTCCTGATTTGACACAATCAACAATTGATCCAAGTTTATCTCCTAAGATAATTGGTGGAAGGAATTAATACCCGCACTTGAAATCGATGTTTTTGTCAACAGTGGGTATCCCACCTTGTTATAATAATTTATAATATAAACGTTGGAATGTCATCTCTATACCACTGCATTTGTTGTACTGTAGAATTAAAGGAATTTAATTTATGATTTATCTCATGTTTTTGGATTGAATGACGGATGTATTTGGATTCATTTATCTCGCCCTATATGTATATGTTTTTTTTACGTCCTTAAACCTTTAGTTTTCACCAATTCTTCTAATGGCTACATTATAAAAAACAAAAAATTTAGGAGCTTTGTGACACCGTCAAGTTTCGGTAGTTGTAATAATATGATATAAATTTGCGTTAAAATGACCATAAAAGGTGGCCATGTATGTGTTACAACTTACAAGAGAGTCGCTTCGTGATAAACATCTGCGATGATATTCTTTCCTCATGATATTTTTTTATCATATCATCGAGAGTCTTGTTGCAACTCCATGGTTATTGAAGAAGCAATGCAGATGGACAACGTAATATGAATTTTCTCTATGATAAGGTTGATCAAGCTATTGAAATGAAGATATTAAACTAAACTTTATTTAATAATAAATGGATCATATACAGCAAAGTCATTACATATATTTTTCGCAAACATTGCCCAATGTGAAAATCAGAAGTGCAATGACTAAAGCAACCGTAAAAAAGATAACACTCGTAAACTACTGCTTTACAACTAACAACTTTAAATTATCGGTTTCGTTTTTCTTCTTCAACTCCAACACAATATATCTCGTGCATTTCAAGAAGTAAATCTTTGTAGCTTTGCCGAGTTAGTTTCTCCTTCATCCATCTTGAAAGTGAAAAAATGACCAATTACATTTCCTACTTAGGTATATTTAGCACAATTAGGACATCCCACAAACCTTCTATCAGGGTTCAAGGGATTTTAGGACATAAATAAATGAGCTTCAAACCACATCACAATAACATTTTTAGATTTCACCATTTCGCATCAACCTCTTCTTTCTATAGCTTGATATAGATTATCCTAAAGCCATTAAGATGGTTAATGGCCTATTACGTAAAATTATAATTTACCATCAATTGTCAGACATATGAACACTATAGCAAAGGTAGGCACTACCCTTATCATAGTCTTCCAAAACCCCACAACATAAGTAACACTCTCAATGAACAAAGAAACTCTCGCAAGTGTACATGAGAATGCTAAATAAATTCTAAAAAAATTAATTACTATAAAGTATAAATATAGTTTTGAATTACTATTAGTGTTTTTTTTTGCCTATTTGTTAACAACGAAATATCAAGTGTTAGTATTATGAATTCTTAATAAAAATTACAATATAGTCGAGAATAAATTGTTACATTACATACTGTTCCAAACTTGGCTGAGATAGCCCAGCCTAATATGGGCCAAAAGCCCGGGCAATATGCCATAGATAAACTATTCTTCTAATTTTCTCCTTAAACGAATTTAATGAAGATTAGATAAAAATCACATTAATTGATGTTGTTATAAAAAATAAAATGTGTTGCTCACTTTTTGTCTGAAATTATGAAACTAAGAAAAGCTAAAAGTGTGTTTGGTTGGATGATATGAAAGACAAATAAATGAGTGATGAAATGAGAAAAAGATAATAAAATGGATTATTATATTCCATGATTACGTGGTTGATTTGTAATAAAATGCATTTTTATGTAGATTTTTTTATATTATATTTAAATACAATTAATAGTTTACACAAGTCAATATATTATATATTTATAATTATATAATTTATTGTATACAAAATCAAAAAGTTAAACGTTTAATAAAAGTTTATCAAATCTCAAAGAAGATAATAAAAAAGTTTTTTATTTGTTTTTAGAAAATAAAATTAATTATAAAGTTCATGAAGTTCCTAAAGATATTTGTGGAAATAGGTTTTATAAAAAAAAAAAAAAGGGTTGTATTACGATCTTTCATTCCACTCCGTACTCCCATTCATGAAGAAATGAAGAAAAAACAACTAATCTTAGATGTTTAATAATATGTTCTATTCAATTCATAAGTTTCCTAAAATAGCATTATAATATATAAAATGTAATGTAAGGTTCGATTGTAGTAGGATGCATGATCAGTGCCATGTTTATGCAGTATGACATGATAAATGTTGAATTTACTGAACATAAAACGCGCCGCCGATCGACTAATCTATCCGCCGCAGAAGCTCGTAATTTCTAATCTGCCAAGGTGATGGCGATGGCGATGGCGATGTCGATGGAAATGGGGCTTGCTGCCCCAATGAAGTTCAAGGTCGGTGCTATTATGAATTACAAAGAACACCACCACCTTGATGCGTCGTATGTAAAACGCGCCCTCGAGTTACCAGACCTGTCTGCCGGTTTCACCGCGCCGCATACCAACTTTTGTTGCGTGATAGCAAAAAACAACAGCGTGGGGAATAAAGTTTTTGGAGAAGGATACATTTATGCTCAAGGGACGAAATCGGCGGAGGTCCAGGTGGTGGAGGCCGCTGGAGAGTATTGCAGAGGCGGCACTGCTTATGTCAATATGGAACCTGGAGACTGCGACGAAGATAACACCTCTCTATCTGCTTATATTAAGGGTTTTTCCATTGCTCAATTTCATCATTAAAAATCCAACTTGGATACAAGTTTGTTTGAATATTTATTGCTTTCACTATATATCTTCCCTTTGTTTCAGTTATATATCATCATATACACTCTATAAAATTTTGTTCAACTCTACATGCTTAATAATCATAATCCTTAGGCTGGAATTACCAGAGTTGTAATTGGGATAAGGCATCCATTGCAACATCTTCGTGGAAATGCTATTGAGGCATTGCGAAGTGAAGGACTGCAGGTTGATGTTCTTGGGGAAGATATAAAAGGTGTCTCCATGGAGGTACGTATTGTATAATCTTTAGCATTCTCACATGTTTATTTTCTTTCTTTCTAATTTCTTGTCAATCAATCTTATATTACATTAATTCTTCTAGGATGCTCTGAAATCATGTCTTGTTGTCAATGCCCCTTTGCTATATAGATCAACATTTGGAGTCACATTCTCTGTTTTAAAGTACGCAATGACCCTTGATGGTGAGTGTCATTGATGGTATATGTTGTTTTGTAAAATCAAAACGTTGCATTAGCTCCATTTTATCCACATTTTTTACAGGAAAAATTGCTACTACTAGTGGAAATTCATTATGGATAAGCAGCAAAAAGTCCAGATCACGAGTCTTTGAGTTACATGGTAGAAGCGTTGCAGTTATTGTAGGAGGAAATACGGTCACTACAAGAAAAAGACCATTTTATGATGCGCAAGCCACGACACTCATTGATTTATGTTACGCAAAAGCGTGTGACATTAAAAAAGTGTCATCTCTTCAAAAAATTTAAGGATTTAGGTCACGCATTATTGTGTGCCCTTAAATTAGTGTCTAAAAAAACACGGAGGGCACCTATAATAAAATGCGTGTCGTCTAAGGATGTCGCTTTATAAATTTTAATGGAACACACGTTTTCCAAACTTTAATAGCTAAGCGGGAAATGAAATCCCCAAAATTAGAAAACCCAGTCTTGTTCTCATCTTCCTTCGTTTCTACTTTTCTCTTTTCCATGGTTTGGCTTAATGAAGCTCTTTGAATTCCATGAGTTATCGCTATGAAGTATGGAATGCAAAGCTTGATTCTCGTTTGTTTCTGATTTCCCATAGATAAATCAAAACAACACACAGACGAAGAACCCTAACGTGCATCTTCCTTCTTAGTAGGTAGCGGGAGGTCTTTTATTTTCTTCTAAAATCCCGATTCTCTCATTTTTCTATCGACGTAGTACGTGCTAGGATGGTCGATTATCCTCACCCTTTGCTACAACAGATGAACAGACTGCACCTACTAAGGTATGAGAAGGACGCTTCTACCCTGCCTTATTTCTTCAGCCGTTCAACAAATAAGAGGAAACACAATTTCTCATTCATCTCTCGACTTCATCTTCTCAATCAAGAAAAAAGGCTTATGATTTTTTTCCTGCATCTGCGATTTCAGCTGGTTTTTCGATTTCTCCTTTATGCCTCCGTTTTTTTCCTACACCTACTTCCATTACTCTTCTGCAAGCAGATCCTAAACGTGATTCACGAAGGGTGAGATTAAGTTTAGTCATATCATATCATATGTTTTCTTCATTATTAATTTTTTTTATTATTGAGTTAAAAGTTCAACATGATGTTTACAATATCCTCGTCTCCATGACCCAAGGCGTGTTGTTGGAACCCCATCAGACCATATTATGGAAGATGCTACAAGTCTGATAAAATTTGGTCTACCAGAGTCTGATTTTGATGCCTCTGTTATGTTTAGACAACCACGACCTGCTCCACCTGGTCTACCAGAGTCTGATGGCAATCAAAAGGATTATAGACTCTATTAGCAGTTAAGAGGGGCGGAGTTTATGCAGACATGCATGACATTGCTTTCTCGACTGGTTGCTCAGGTGGGGGTAGACTCCTCTTTTGATTGGTTAAAATTTCTCTAGTTTAACTGCTTTTCTTGTTTCTCCTTTGGGGATATATTCTTATTGTTTCTAACTTTCTTTTACTTATTATTACGTATGAGTACCAGATCTTTATTTATAATGTATGATAATTTTGTAAAAGAAACCAATACACGTTTTATATGTGAGGTAATATAATATGTTCTTTATAATATAATTTATTTTTTTGTGTGTGTAATGTGGTTCATGTTGTAATGTGTCATGCTCAAATCATTCATATCTGATATATTCTTTTCATGGGAGCTTATATAAACAACATCAACCCATTACTTTAACTGACAAGTGACAAGGTCAAGCATCAAAACATTTCTAAAACCGAACATATTAACTACATAAACATGGCCTTATATATAAAGTTATTGAAATATGCACATATCTATATTCTTAAGTAAATGTATTATTGACATCTTCAACTCTTAAAATTCTTGGTTCTGTATGAATAT